AGCCTTAGGGTGGCCTGAGAACCCAGGGTGGCCTGATAGCCTTAGGGTGGCTTGAAAGCCCAGGGTGGCCTGATAGCCTTAGGGTGGCCTGATAGCCTTAGGGTGGCCTAGGGTGGCCTGCTAGCCTTAGGGTGGCATGATAGCCTTTTCAGCCTTAGGGTGGCCTGATAGTCTTAGGGTGGCCTGATAGCCCGGGGTGGCCTGATAGCCTTAGGGTGGCCTTTTCAGCCTTGCGGCAAGAAGCTGGTGGCCTCTCTCTCTCTTTCTCTCTCCCTCTCTCTCTCTCTCTCTCTCTCTCTCTCTCTTTTGTTGGTGTGTGGAGTTAGCAAACAGAGTGTGGAGTTAATGTTGCCCTTTTTTTTTTCCGTTTATTTTCCCTCTTTCCCTCTACCACCCGCCTGTCCTACAACCGTCCCACACCAGTCACATTGTTCCACATACGTGGCTAGTGGGATCGCCCTCCTGGAATCGGAAGTTCCGCCTGTGGAACGGTTGCCTTGCGGAGAACATTGTCGTTTTTTTGACAAGGGACGGAGAAAATTGGCGTTTTTTTTTTTTTGCCTCCGAGTTCTGAGTTTTTTTTATTGTTCTTTGGTTGTTTGTTTTTTTGTTTCATGTCGTCTTGTGTTTTCCCTCTGATGTCCAGGTGTTATGTACTTTGCGTTCATCGTTTTTGCCTGTTTCATAGCATTTATTTACCGCTCTGACGCCGACTTCGATCTCTGTTGCGAGTTGGTAACATTCTCAGAGGATTCCGTCATCGTCTTTTTTTTTCGTGGTTGGCGATTTTTATCATGTCGCAGGACCGGGGGAAGGATTCGGTAGACTCGCTCACGACCGCCCGACAAGGTCATAACACGAAGACGTTTGACTCGCCGTTCAAGGTCGACCCGACAGTCGACGGCAAGCGGGACGACCCGGTGTGGCATTTCCAAAAAGATGAGAGTGTGAAACACATCTTCTGGATTCCTTGCGTCGCCCACATCATGGATCTCATTCTCGAGGACATCGGCGGGATTGATTGGGTGGCTTCCCGCATTTCTCAAGCGAGGCTGGTTAAAAGGTTCTTCAAGCGCTATGGACATGCGAGAGAGGTTTTTGAGGCGCACTCGACGAGGACTCTTCTGCTACCGGCGGAGATGCGTTTCGGCACGAACGTCATCATGATGGAGAGGCTGGTGGCACTGCAGGCCGCGTTGACAGATGTTGTGGCCAACGATCGCTGGTGCGAGACTGTTTGGTCGACCAGCAAGATCCGCAAGGATGCAGCGGAGGTCACTCCATGTATCGGCTCCCCTCCATGGTGGGAGGATTTGAGAGCTTTGTGCAAGATGCTAGAGCCCATCATGGGCATGCTGAAGTTGGTGGACAACGACACACGCCGGATCAGCAAGATTCTGCGACATTACGAGGAAATGATTGCATCTTGTTTATCCGCATGTCGTGACATTGATCGGGAGCAGCAGGACGCTATTGTGGAGGTGTTCCACAGGCGGCGCACCATGTTCAAGACCCCCGCCAACACGGCAGCCATGCTGCTAGATCCAGAGTTCCGGGACGCGACGCTTTGTGACGATGCGGAGGTGCAGCAGGCCTTGGTCGAGGCCCTTGTCCAGTTCGGCTACCCGGAGGATTCGCCGCAGCACCGGGAGGTCCAACGAGAGGTCGCCAAGCTCCACACGAGGGAGCCCCCTTTCGATGAGCTCACCATGCGGCGAGCTGCGGATATCTTTGATCACCCTGCCAGTTTTTGATCCTCAAAGAAGGCGAAGTTCCCTCACACAGCCGTGTTTGCAGGCAGGATCCTTCGTATATGGGCGACCGCCTCACCGTGCGAGAGAGCGTGGTCTCGTTGGAGCTTCATTCATTCGAAGTCTCGCAACAGGTTGGAGGTT